TGACCCCTGGTGGGAGGGAGAGTGTGTGTGCAGTTTCAAGGCATACAGACACCGCCTATGCTGATCCCAGTGTGTGTTTACCGTATGGGAATGCTTAGAGTAGTGCAGTATGTGTACAGTATGTGTGTGTTTTTGTGTGTGTGTGTGTGTGCCTGAGCGAACACCAGTGAGACAGAAAGGAGGGGAGAGACAGAAAGAGGGAGGGAGCGAAGGCATATCCAAGGGGATCAAACCTAAACCACAGGATATTTCTGACCTTGAGGGCGAGCGGGTAAAGCAGGGGAGGGGGGTAGAGGAAAAGAAATACAGAGGAAAGCTGAAGGGAAGGAACAAAGAGATGGAGAGAGAGAAGCAGTCTTTGGAAGGCAGCTGGAAAGCCTCCAGAATCCTCTGCTCAAACCAACCATAAAATTCCAACCGTAGCCACGAAACCAGTATGAGGACTGACGAGGGTGCCTCCTGCCCACAATGGGGTGTGTGTGTCTGCATTTGTGTGTGTCTGTGGTGTGCACACATTTACTTGTGTGTGTGTGTGTGTGTGTGTGTATGTGTGTGTGTGCCATATGTGATTAAAGGGTCCGAGCAGAGGAGGCCAGGAGGCAGACGAGTGATGCAATCCACGGAAGCGAAGGAGAGGACACGAGGGCGGCAGGAAGGAAGGGAGGGAAGAGAGGAAGGAGGAATTGTTGCTTCTGGGGATCCAGCTCTCCAGGAATGTGCTGACGGTCATGTCCCACACAGTCAGGGAGAGTGTTGCATTCTGGGAAGCTCTGCGGAGGTGACACCACCTGTTTTGGTGTGCTACAGATTGCAAACGCATGATAAATTCACACATTATAAAGGGATAGACTTTGTGAGTCATTATTGTTAATAATTTTCAAAGGCACAACAGTCCTTTTCCCTGTGCAAACCAGTCTCTCTCACTGCAGGCTGGAGGCCTCAATCCACCCTCACACAGCAGCAGTGGAGATCTATTTCGGTGCAAGCTACACAATGTCCACAAGCACCCACACAGGCTCGGTGGGTAAGGTGATTGGTAAGCCTGGACAAAAAGTCTATTTATGAGCATGGCAAAAGTGGGCGGTTGTCCTTGAGCTCGTTTGTCTGCCGTCTGAAGTGCTAAGTGCTGTATACAGTTACAATAGATAGAACATGCACAAGGACGAGTGAAGGTGGAGAAGGGGTGAGGGAGGGAGGGTGAGTGCGAGAGAGCACTGGGAATAGAGATGGTGAGTCAGAGGCCATTTGGAAAGTAATTTCATCTCTGAATGCCATATATCTTTTCATCAATGAAAGGAAAGCATTTTCCGAACCAGGCTGGCACAAGAAGAAAAACATCTCTGTTTGGTGTAATGGAGCCTATTTGAGGGGGAGAGGACAGATACCATTCACAGGTTATTTCTGCTCTAGATTTACTTCATGTAAGTGAAGGTGTTTGTTACAATACAGTGCAGTGAAAGAAGTTTAGAGCAAGTCTAAGAGTCTACAGCCATGCTATCTGCTCTGTGAGGCTGTACTTACTGTAGACTGTGTGCTTTGAGCTAAATGTGAATGTTAGCATGCTAATGGGCTAACACTGACAGTGAAAACCTTCGGGTGTTTGGCAGGTATAATGTTTACCATCTTGTTGCCATCTTGTTTAGCATTTTAGCATGCAAGTATTTGAAGACTTAAAAAAAATTAACCCAATGATGGCACTAGAAGAAGAGTCATGTTATCACCAGAATAATTTAGATTCATCCTATAGGCAACATGGATATCTGTACCAAATCTTATGGCAATACATCCAATAGATGTTGAAGTATGTCAGTCTGGGCCAAAGCTGTGGACCGACTGACCGACAGGCAGACATGCTGCTGGCGTGGCTAAATAAATTTGATATTTTTTGCCTGCATATACGCGTGAGGCCACATCCTTCTGCAAATACTGTAATTTCTCATCAGTCTTAGCCAAGAAGAAGCACATTTCCTCATTATGGCACAAAGAGTCTTCTGCAATTTCTGTAAATCAGTGGTTTCTTATGTCCTGATGCTGCAGTGAGGTTTTAGGGGGTTCCAGCAATATTCTGGACCGGCTGAATGTGGTGTGGCATCCAGCCAGTGAAAGAGGGAAAAGAGAAGGGCAAAGGGGAACGTTAGGCTGAAGTGTTAGGAGGGACGACCACAAACAGGTCTGGACTGCTGTGTGTATCCTGGCAAAGCAACCTTGGCCTTGACAGGACTGTACAAACATGTACAATATTTGACTCCAGCCAAATTTCTTCCTTACATAAATATGGGTGGAGATTCACCTCCATTTACCAAAACAACTAAAACCAAATCTCCCAATCTCTCCAAATCTGAATAAAATCAGTAAAGTGTATCTCAGTGTCAAAGCAGAAATATGCCATTGATAAAAAAAAGTATTGATGTCTGTTGAAATACAAGTCTAAGAGCATGAAAAGATTAATTCATGAAACATGTTTTCTGTTAACTGAGTTCACTGACTGGAGGGGAGGAGAAAGACACCACAGAATACTGAGTTGGACTGGTTTTTGATTGGTCTGGCATCCGTTGTGTGGTTATATGGGCAAGCACAAAGAGAATGCTGCGGTTATTCTTGGACCACCACTGTCCGCACTTCCATGTAATGTTCTGATGTTTACCATCGCTGGTTCAGTTCATCTGCTGGGATTATGAGTCAACCCTGCTAAGGAGATGCAGAGAGGTCCTGCAAGGACACTGACTGGCTGACTTACCCTCTCTGCATCCAAATTAAAGTGTTTGTACGACTCCAGCACACAAGCCGAGCCCGGACACAACCTTTGCCACCAAACTCCTGAATTCTACTGTGTTTTTGTACAGCCTGGGTTCTCTGCAGCCTCAAATTAACATCGGCCTTGGCTTTGAGTTTTACTTTTTCTCTCACACAGTACATATTTTGTCGTGTTGTTTGTATGCTGTGGAACGTCAGCACAGATATTTTCGGTTGTGTGGAGGAGTCTACCCATAGCAGAGCAAACACAACCCAGCGTCTGCAGAATGTTTTGTTTGCTAAGCCCGTCACCTTTCAGCGAGCATTTGCACCTCAGCTTCTTCGCTGACAACCCGATGATGTATCTGTGGGAATTTAATTTGTTTCTGGACGGCCTGGTAATGCAGCTGGCTATCGAGCATGCCTGGCAACATATGAACCCTTGACTGTAGTGACGTGACATCCATTTTCTTACTCCCCAGCTCAACTGTGCCACCTTTGAATAACACAAAATGCCCTGGAGTCATCTGAAAAGTCAACCACTATGACTGCTGAAAGTATATTTAAATGGCATGTTTCTGAAATGAGTGTCTGACCTTTTGTTATTTCAGTGATGCCGAATATGTTCATCCCCTTGATTACACAACAAGCGATGACACGTAGATACCTCAAGTTGGTTTCTCTGTTGCCATATCTTCATTCTGACAAAGCATCCAATGACAACATCAAAACCCACAACTTGGGTTTAATATTTATCATCAACCCACTAGAACCGCAAACGGCTGAACTTTTAATTAGCTAAATGTCGCATGACAGCATTCTGAAAAACAAAATGAAGATATTTTATAATTTCAGTAAAGCCAATTTTATGAACAGCAGAGGTTTATATATATGCAGTCTTTCTTTCAAGTTAAATGAAAAATACCAGTAGTCTCCTTCCTCACAGTCATGTCAAAAGTTCTACAAACGGCAAAATACTGAGAATTAATTTGTAAGACTGGTCTCATTACTTTGCACTGTAATTAAATATTCCATTAAACACTAGGCTTATTTTCATGGTAATACTTTACAGCATATTAATATCTATGCAAATACTTTTGATGCATTTTTGATCATGCAGTTACAGATCATTACATCTGTATATATTATACTATACTTCAAGTGCAATCTCTAAAATATAGCACTGTGTGTGTATGGCAGAGAAGCAATGTAATGAAAGCCAGACGAACACTGTGTTCCAGGTCAGAGCTGAAGTCTGCACAGCTTTGGTCCAGAGAGCAGCATGAGTCACCGGAACTGAGCAGATTGCTAGCTTGCAGAATTCATTAAGACAAATGTAAGGTATATGGATTTCCTCTGGAAGGGAAAAAAAACCCCTTGGCAGCTGCAGAATAGCACCCCAGTGAATCCTCAAGTAGCTTTCCATACACCTTCGGAATGACAGCATGCTTTTTGCAACTGCATAGATGATTTGTGCTCGACTGAATGTAAATGAATTAGCCCTAAATCATTCAGCGTGTTGGCCTATTTTGTATTATTTTCTTAAAGATTCTTATACAACTACAACAGACGGTTACTATGACATATGATGAGCACTAAACAACTAGTTTTAAGCAGCTAGTTTAATGCCTAGGGAGTAACGTTAGGTCAGCCTAGTGAAACTATCTGCTAGAAAGAGAGTTATCTGTGTGGGAACTGATCATGTTGAAGAAAATGCAAATTGAGCTGTTAAAGATGCAGCTTGAACTGATTTTTAATCCAACACCAGTAGTTTATATCATGTCGTTTCTCTCTGTGCAATGGCGCCCCGGGGCGGGTAAGAGGCAGTAATGCACAAACAGTGTCCAGTTATTGGTGTTAAGAGTTACGGTAACCTCATAACTTTACTAAATCACTGTTTAAACTTTAGCAATAATGTTAAGTTTACTATAGGCCTTAACTGACTATTTTCATAAGGCTTATACTTAACTTGCCAATTAGAAAGGGAATGAAGCAGAGTTTAAGTTTTGATCAAATCCAAATTACGGCAATTGCTCAAAGGCTGCTATAATATATGTTAAGATAAGATAAGAAAGGCAAAGCCATAAAATATTGTTAGCTAGCTAAATTAACTCGACAGTAACGCCTGTAAAGCTTCAAACGTTTAAACAAATGTCTGAAGCGCCTTTTTTTCAGGCGATAACGTCCTGCGCTTATAAACCCGCTAAAATGACCCAGGAGCAGCGGTTGAACTCGGCATTTCAACAGTTTAAACAGGGCCATAAAGCCAGAGCTGATCCCAAATCAGCCACCATGGCACCGGATGTCGGTAAGTAAAAAGACAAGTGCCGACTTCTACAGGAAATACCCTCCGCTGTAGAGAGCATTTATGAAGGGCTGCCATTTTACCGACCTTACGGTAAGAAAAGTTGCTTCGTGTTGTGGTGTTGTTAGCTGGCCGCCATACGTTCACTCTCACACTGTGCCCGGTGTGCAGTGAACTTATAATATCGGGTTCAACCTTTTAGTCTCGTACTTACAGTTCATGTTAGCTAGCCTAGCTTGTTAACCACCGTGTCTGTGCTGCTACTGTTAGCACTGCACCTTATCAAGACAAAAGCAAATAAATATAAAGCGACAGGCAGTCTGGTGTCATGGCAGTTATGCTTTATAAACTGGGCTTTAAGGGGTTTTTTAGATGCCCTTTATGTCTGGAAGGTTAGTAACGAACCCGCTGAGCATGTAGCTTAATACTAGCTGCCGTTTCCCGTTAGACAAGGCAGACCTTATCTTAGCCTACATGTAGCGACCACTGCTCTAAAAGTAGCCCCAGTAATGATCATCATGACTTAACAGAAATATAGTAATGTAGCAACTCTGTATGTGCATGTTCACAGATTCAATGAAACTGATCTAGTGCAAGCATTACATGTCATCCCCCCCATTGTTGTTTCTGACAGCAGCCCAAATGAATCATGGGGGTCAAAGTAATCCAGCTCACCTCTAAGTCCCACCATGGAAACATCCTGGCTTCTCTGCATCAGCTTCAGCAGCAGGGGCGGCTCAGTGATGTTACAGTGCAGGTAGACTACCAGGGAGACGTGCAGGAGTTCCAGGCCCACCAGGTGATGCTCGCAGCCTCCAGTGGTTACTTCAAGAAGATCCTTCTCTCTCAGGATGCTGCCCGAGACAAATTATTACTCTCAAATATACACTCCAAAGATTTCTCGAAGTTCCTGGAATTTGTGTACACCGGTAGGGTTGAGGTGGCCAGAGACAAAATTGGTGATGTTCAAGCAGTGGCACAGTTTTTGGACTGTGAGGATCTGTCTGAGGTTTGCGGTGAGGCCATGAGAGCTGGAATCCAACAAAAACCTACAAATAAAACACCTGCGTCAGAAGTTGTTCTAGAAGATAGCATACATGGGGCCAAGAAAGTAAACAAGACCAAAGGAAAGAAGCAGCCTAAGAGTTTACTCCTTAAGCGGCGGCTGTCTCCACAGAGCTCTGACAAAGAAGTTGTTTCAAAACTATGTAAGCTGAAGAACACAGGGACAAATGAAAAAAAAGGAAGAAAGCTAAAACTGAGCTTGGCTGGCCGTAAAGTCCTTCAAAGGCGTTTAAATACTGAAAGAGACGATTTGAACGATGGAAACCAAGTCGGCAATGAAGACACGGAGGGGTTAAAGGACAAGACTGAAGCCGAGAATCAGGCAGAGAAAGGAGACGAGTCATCGTTGATACGGCCGGTCTCTGATGTGGAGGATTGGGTAGGTGAGGAGGATGGGCATAGTAATGATCCTGAAGACTTTATGTTATCTCTGGAGGAGGAGGAGGAGGAGGAGGAGGGGGAAGAGGGACAGTCGAAGGAGAAATTAAAAAGAACATCCAAAGCCCAGTTCCAGTGTAACAAGTGCCAGCGGACCTTCCACTATGAGAGAAGCTACTTGAAGCACATCAGGTGGGACATAATCATTCATTGATTGATACTAGCAGTGAGGTTAGCACCTAGCTGCTACCACCTCATTATCAAACATTTCCTTTGTTGGCCTTATAGTATGCTACCCCATGTTGTTGACTCCACTTGGTAATTATGATGGGGGGAAATGTGAGTCATCTAATAGGCATTTGGTCCTGGCATAGAAGCTCCCTAGTCCCTCTACCATTGGCTTTATGTGCTGTGTGACCTCTGTCGACACCAGCTGTGCCTGTGCACCGTTGTTTTTCTTGTTTGTGTGTAACTGTGTCATGTGTAGGGCAGTTTATCAAAAGATTATTAAAATGGAAATATGGCCCAGTGCAATATGCAAATTGCAGAAGCTGCAATCTTTTGATAAAAGTAAAATGAGTATTATAATGAAGTACTGTAGTGCTGGCCTACACATCTTTTTCTCCAGATGTAAGAAAACATGTCTGGTACAGACCCATTAATGTCACATCATCATGATTTTAATAGTTTTTTCTGTTAAAGAAATGTGATACAAAAATATTTTTTGTCACGAATCATGACTCATACCATCATTCAATCTTTTTTTCTTCTTTTTGCCATATTGTGCAGCCCTTGTCATGTCATGTTCCTGATGTTATATAAAACGAGGTTGGAATAATGGAAAAGCAGTTTGATGTGCTGTAACAACTCCCCCCAGTTATAATGACCACACTTTGGTGGTTAACAGTTTCACAGTAGGTGGTCATAATGCAACCAGCCTCTTCATGAACTGGTCATACTGTAATCTCAAAAATTGTGAGTTTGACTGAGTTTGTTTGTTCAGCAGCACTGTGCTTCCACAGCCCTACGGTGTTAACTGGGGTAAATTCACCCTTAAAGCTGGAGCTATGTCAGATGATCCTCAATGCGTCTCATCATGATATCTAAGATGAGAACATCTGATATTCCTTGCCTTTATGTATCCCCCTTAGCTCTAACCTGTTACTGCTGTCTTCCCCAGTACGTACCATGGAGTGAAAGCAGATGTCATCTATCGCTGTGAGACCTGCCTGCAAACCTTTGCTAACCGCAGCAACCTGAAGATCCATGAAAAGCACGTCCACAGTACTGAGAGGCTTTTTTCCTGTGACTCCTGCACAAAGACCTTCAAACGGAAGAAGGATGTTGTCCGCCATCAAAGACAAGTTAGGATTAATGAAATTCCACACACTTGTATCTAAAAGTTGTTGTTCAATAATAATTTATCTGCATGTTTTTTGCTGATTTGATTATTTCTGTCTTACATATCTGCTGCTTCTCAGGTACACGAACGTAACAATCTGCGGCACGTCTGCCCTGAGTGCGGAAAGGCACTCAGCTCCAAAACTGCCCTGCTGTTGCATGAGAGGACACACACAGGTGCCAAGCCTTTTGAGTGCACCGACTGTGGGGCCAGATTTACCCAGAACTCTGCCCTCAAGATGCACCGCAGGTACAACGCTCACTGCTGATAACTGGTAGAATGAGCCTTAATTGGAGTGGTGCAGGTGCTAAAGACAGACAGGATTTTAACTGAAAGGTGCCAGGTATTATTCTTGAGTTACCAAGGAAGAATGTACGTTTAGTTAGCCTCTCTTTGACAAATACCTTGACTTTAGATTAACATAACATACTAATAACGTATGTACCATTTATATTTTTTTAAAAAAGTCCCAAATAGACAAATAAAAGCAAAATAAACACCTTGGCTATTATTAGAAGTTTGACGGTATGTGTATGAAATAGATGAGGGCTGAACTTGTCTGTCCGTTTATGTGTAGGACTCACACAGGAGAGAAGCCATTTGCCTGTGATGAGTGTGATGCCCGGTTCACTCAGAAGCACATGTTGGCTTATCATAAACGATCACACACAGGTGAGAGGGATATCATTTTTTAAAAGTGTTTAGATTTCTGCATTCTCATTGTCAGTTTGAGTGGAGATTTTGGACCTGGATTAAATCCTTTCTCTGATAAAGTGGGCCTTGAAGCTTGCACCCAGTGAAGACAAGACTATCTACACATACCAAAAGTGAAATGATTATTCTTTTGCTGTTGTATTTCCTGTTAGGAGAGAAACCCTTCATGTGTGAAGCCTGTGGGAAAAGCTTTGCATCTAAAGAATACCTAAGACACCACTCAAACATCCACACTGGGTCCAAGCCATACAAGTGCGAGCATTGTGGTCGAGGCTTCGCTCAGAGGAATTCCCTCCACCAGCATTTAAAAATACACACAGGTAATTGTATCAATCATTTACATATTTGCAATGTGTTAATTTGGGTGCATAATCTGCTTTTACAGCTGAGAAACCTCTTTTCTACCTTACTGTTCTCCTCTGTTTACGCTTAATTTTGACTGTGTTGACTGTTAGGTGAGCGTCCATACAGCTGTAAAGACTGTGACAAGCAGTTCACCCAGCTCAATGCACTCCAGAGGCACCAGCGCATTCACACAGGAGAAAAACCCTACATGTGTGGTCTTTGTAGACGCACCTTTACAGACAAATCCACCCTTCGGAGGCACACTATGGTGAGCAGTGCCTATCTTACTGAAATGGCCGCTATCAACTGTATGTTACCAGTGTTAAGTGTCTATGATCAAAAAATGTTCATGGTTAAATGTCCACTGTTATTAACACTTATGAGGGTCTGTAGGCAGAAATTAAATAATATTCACAGGTATGTTTTCGTTGGTGTATAATCACCTGAAAATAAGACTAGTTGTGTTTTTGTTATCTCAGAATGAGCTGTTTATATCTACCTATATATAAATCTATCTATATTTGGCTTTTATACAACAACTACCAATATATGTGTATCACCTGATGTTGTGTTTAATGTACTTTGACCCATCAGACTGCTGTTAAAATAACATGAGCTCTTCTAACATTCAGATCCATGACTCAGATGCTCCCTGGAAAACCTACCTTGTGGTTCTGGAGGGAAATGTGGAGGACAAGAAACCCAAAACTCCTACCAAAGAAAAGACAGAAAAAGGGGCAGAGGAGAAAAAGGGTACCACAAGAAAAAGTGGTGTTAGTGGTACTGGTACTGGCACCAGTACTGCTGGCAGTCCTGGTAAAACCCACACTGACTCCATTGTGGTGCCAGGTGAGCCAGTCACCCTCCCATCTGAATGGACCACTCATGGGGCAATCGCTCTGGTCAGCCATGGCACCCTCGGCGGGATCACTGTTATCCACACTGAGGTGCCACCTGGTACCCAGATCCAGCCCCTTGTGACCACTGACGCCACAGGGGCCAGTGTCATTTCCTTAGATGGATCATCCATCCCTGTCCCGTTCTCTATACCAGTGTCCATGTCTCTGTCCGTACCCACTCTCTCAGTTCCCGTTTCTGATGTCTCTGAGATCCCAACAGTCTCTACGTCATCTGTCCTAGAAACTGCTGCTTCACAGACCATTTTGGCTCCAGTTTCAGAGACTAAAGCCGCTTCTGAGACAAATACTTTGCAGCCTGATATTCAGACTGTGATTGTTGGTGATATGGATTGTAAAAACGAACACAAAGCTGCTGGACAGCAAAGGACAGCAGATAACCCACCAGCTGAGCACACAGAGGCCCCAGCTCAAGAATCTGAGTAGCAAATGCATGTGATGAATCATTTTATCTGGGTTTAGGAATAGAATTAAAAATCCCATTTCATTGTTATTTTAGTCCGGCATTAGCGGTGTGTGACTGTGTGTTCTGACCATGTGGTATTTCATTATTATTATGATCCAGTGTTTCATTAACAGACCTGGATGTGATGTTCAGTGTGTCGCGCTTTTTTGAAATGTCAAGGTATTCATTAAAAATCAAATCAACCAGCCTGTGGTTTAGTTACGTCTTAGAAATACAACTAAAGCACAATTAAGGCATTAGGTATAATTAATTAATGAAATAAAAGTGTACACATCTAATAATATATATAGGGTTAACTGCGGCACAAATATTGAAAACAAATATAATGAAGGTGATTGTTAATTCATGACATATAATCATCAAAAACATCACATGGGGTTTTGTACATTTTACCACGTTCCCCATACATCAAGTATTGCTAGAGTTACAACTTTTATACTGTGTAGGATGGTGTGGGAACCTTGGCAGCTTTCCATACTCCTTTGGAACAACAGCATATATTTTTTTTGCATTTCTGATTTATGTTGGTCTGAATGTAAATGACATAGCTTAAATCCTTCAAAGTTGTGGCACTTTCAATCTCTCCCTTTGGGACTGTTTCCTTAGAACCACAGCTGTATTTCAAACTGTTATGTTCAGCAGGTACCTGCATACAATCCTTTTCAAATCCCTTGTTTTTCTTAACGCTAAGAAAAATAACCTCTGTAGTTTAGAATTTTTAACTGTGAAAAATGATTAGGCTGTTTAAAATTGGTTGCGGTCTTCTTTTTGACTGGAATGAAAGGTAATGATTGTGGATCGCTTAATTTGTATCATCAACTATCAAACAAACAGTATTGTCATTTTGGAAGGCTGCTCAAAGGATAGGATTGGTCAACAGTGGACTGTGGGCATGAGAGTAAATGCACACTAAACAAAATGTAGACATTGGATCACTGTTGTCTAAGGACGTGACGCAGTAATGTCGAGGTTACATAGTACACTGTAACATATCACTGATTAAACAAGCTCCACCAATGAAATGGTCATGTTTTAGTATCAGGTGACTGTCTGGCAGGGCGGCAGCTCTATAGCAGCAGCAAGAATGACACACAGAGCAATGTAATGGATCAATAAAGGAATATATGAATAGGATTATATAACAGCGTGGATTGATACAGCTAGCCCACTTACTCATTTCCCACTCCTGGAATAATAAAGGTTACACGTGACATGCTAAATAGAGAATAAGGTTTTTGCACTATAGGAAACATGCACAGCATTGGAATATGGAACTGGCACTTGGGAAGTGTTAATGAAATGTAATTAGTACTCTATAATCAAAAACTAGACTGCCCCAATTTTTACTAATGAGACTCGGTGTACCTCATGATATTATGTTGGTAAAGATTAAAAAAAAGGAGCTTGTACTGTTGCACTTGTGTAGACTTCAGAGAACAGTAGAAGACCTGGGTATTACTGAGGCAGAGGCCACAGAATTCATTGTAAATGTTAGTGTGTGTGTGATTGTACAAGTTGTGTTACCATAAATCAATTCAGTGCTAACATTTTATTTAAATTATCATTTGAATTTGAATTCACTTTAGGAACATTGTTAAATTACTAGATTGAGGTATAGTGTGTCCTACCTGAAAACGTAATGCTTGTTTATCCTGGAAATTTTGGGTTATATACACAAAAGATGATTTAAAGGCCGATGAAATGAATCTGTTTGATAGATGAGGTCAAAGGCAGAAAAGAGCAGCTGGGATATAATATCTTTATTATTGTCCATTCACACAAGCATACAGATCATATCCAAGGTCCATTGTCAGTCCACATGGAAGAAGCTGGATACGCAGGGCGGCTGACCCTTTTGTAAAAACTTTGGTCTGGCTCACACTAGTGAATGTAACACAACACTGAACTACACACAATGACATGCTTAGCAACTGGCCATTTGGAAGGTGCACTGTAGTAAACCTTCAAAGATGAGTTCACATCACAACACAGCACGAGATGAGTGACTAATGATGCACGTTACCCCCCCAAAGATTATGTCCCTGGAAATACGGAGTGGGGGTTTCCATGTCAGTGCTTTTGATTTAAAAATACATTTTCCACAGGCAAACTATAAGTCACAGCCTACAGATTCAAACATTCAAAGTATTACATCAACAAATCCTTAAGTAACAAATAATACTAAAGTAATTTAAGTATGAATATGTATGGTTATGATTAGATACAAATGTTTAACAGTCTACACTTGGTGCATATCATTGCCCTCCTTCAGGAAGAGTCTTTCCCCCATTGGTGATCAAATGGAAACAAAATCACTCTTTGTGGCTGTAATGATAATGAAGTTTTAAGAAAAATCACAACATTGATTTGATCCCTTCTCTACTCCAACAAATAAAAAAAATTAAGATAACAGTACATTTATACACACCATGATAATCTTATGTACAACAAACTGAAACATTTAAATAATCTGTTTAAATATACAATAAAACTAGATAAATAATAAAAAAAAATAAACGAGCTGCATCTGACTATAAAACAATAATTGTACAAAACATGCAGTGCTTGTTGTCAATACTAACATCAGTTTCAATACAATATACCGCTCTGAAATCGCCCAGGACAGATTTCAGCAGGAAAGGTATGCAGCAATCCTCTAGACAGAGGTGAGGGCGAGAGGATTTACATTCTCACTAGATTCAGATATGCTCGTAAAGAAAGCAAAGATAGTACTTTGACAGTGTAGCAGTGAGCGGTGGAATATTCAAAATCGCCAGCAGACACTCATCTCCAGATGCTATACACAGTGAGGTGAGTGTGTGTGTGTGTGTGTGTGTGTGTGTGTGTGTGAGAAAGCATGCGTGATGGATTTGTCCCTCCGTGCTGCATTTCTACCCCTGTGTTTCTCTCATTTCAGATCCCCTTCATCACCCTGGATGGTCTTTTTGATGCGCAGCAGGAGGGTTGTGTGCCACTGGTCCAGGCGGGAGATCGAGTCAAACTCTTTTATCTGCAGGCGGGCAAGGGACACAGAGATAAGCTTTTTACAGTTCAAAGGTTCTGCTCACTTAGCTTTATTCGTTACACATTACTGATAAAATGACACAATATACAGTTCGGGTAAGGTTCTACCACCGGCATTGCATTTGTGTAAACTAACAAAAAAAAAAAAAATAGTGATGTATTTTTCCACATCTGACAATAGCAGATGTACACTGTAACATACTGTAGCTGAGGACTTTTCCCTCTTCTCTGACTGAGTTAACTTTAAAAAATCCTTTAGGAGCTCATAAGTCTGAACCAGTGCCACATAAACACACAGTGCTGGAAGATCCAGCCTTCAACTTCCTTGAACTCACACGGGATCCCAACAAAACTACAAGAGCTGAAGCAGTGAGACTCCTGTGCTCCCCAAAAGCCTTGTTTTAAAACTTGAGAGTTTTCTTAGGGTATTCAAGACTTACTGCCTCTGTGAACGCCTCGCTGTTCTGTTCCTCGTGAGCCTCAAGAAGTTTCTGTTAGGACAAAAAAAAAAAAAAAAGAAAGTATGTTACTCATAGGAACGGATTAGATTAAGGGGAAGAAGTAAGACATCATATTCCTCTGAGTTTTTAGCATTAACTTACCTTCAGCAGTTTGCATTCTCGAGAGTCTGAGAAAGCCGGGAACATCTCCTCATATTTTTCAACTGCGATCTGTGGAGAGACGGCGTGTTAATATTCTACCACCATTCCTCGTCCCAAATCCAAGCAATATAACGCAAAGGTATAAACTCGCCTTAGCGTTGAGCTCGTCGACAATAAAATGACACAGGGAGGCTTTGAAGAAGTACTCTTTGGCGCTGTATTTCAGCAACGGGTTGTCCATCGTGTTGGCTCCGACCTAGATACATCCAAGTCATGCGAGATGTATTAGAAATGTCTGCATCACCAAGTCAGTTGCCGACTGAGAAAGTGCAAGCATGGCAGACAAATACAAGTAGTACTCACCTGCTCGTAGATCTCAATAGCCTTCTGGTATTGCTCTAACTGAGCACAGTAAGCCCCCACCTTCAGCAGACACTTGTTGGCAGAACTGAGCAATATTGAAAAAGGCACATTTAATATGACACAACCCATAAGAGCTACGTATTTGGAGTATTTGATGGTGAAAGCTGAAAACATTAATTAAAGCTTGTGACAGTGTGACATCGAGCCATCCCGCACAATACCAGGAGCCTGAAACTGAAGCAGCCACTGTTCATTTAAATCAGTCATCATTAACTTTATGATTCACCTATGCTTTTCCTTATGTGGCATGTCTATCATTTACAATACAGCTCTGCATTCATCATTACATTTTTGACTGACTTGAAAGCACAAGACAAGACAATTTTGAATCAAATGCAAATGTGTGTACACAAAATGTACATAAACATTAACTACCCACTGCCATGGGAGACCGGGTCACTGACATCAGAAAATGCTGACATAGCAGGGGAAATATAGTTGTGATTAATTAAGATAATGAGTGCAATCCATGTAGACAGTTCCGGTGGCCAGATGTTGTGCATGTTGGCTCATGTAAACACAATAGCTATCCCCGGCTATCACAAGTGTGAAAAAAGGGCTTCTAAGAACAGGAGCTTTTCTGATTCTGTGGAAGCCGTATCAAGATCATCTAGCACCCGACTTGTTGAAATTGTTAACATTAAGAAAAACGTATACAACAATGAAAACCGTAAATTGCTGTAACGCCCTGGAAAGGTTATATAAGTGACCAGAGCTTAACAGAAAGTAATAAGCTCACAGCTGACAGCCAAAGCAGATCAGTCATATCATCATATATTGCAAATTGTTTTTTTCCTACGCTGATATTAAGACAATTTCTTACTATCAGAGCGTAGCTGTTATAACATAAACTTTTAATCTCTCTGTGCGTTTAGAAATGTTTCTGGTGGAACGGCAAGTCCGCCCGCTGAGACCCCTTAATCAGCACGAGTGGATTTTAAAACCTTAATTAGAAACCAGTTTGCTGTCTCGTCTTTGTTCTCCATATGCTGCTCAGAAAAACTCCTTCATGAGATAATGATGGTTAACGTTATGGATATGCTTTGGATTGTGATATTAAAGATAAGATAATCATGTTAAATGGTGCTGTGATGTTGTGGGACCAAGCACACACAATTTTGTCTAAGCGGCGCAGAGCGTGCCAGCTCCGGTTCAATCGAACGTGTTTGTTCAGAACATAGTGATTTATGTTGGTAATTGTCATTTTTGTGCTCCATTAGTGACATGGCTGTTACATTCCTTGGCCCAGTCGTCAATGCTGGCATTTTACTGGTGTGCTGTGACTTTACTGTTCGACCCCCCTGTCCATTGGATTGCATATTGACAATCTCGAGTAACCATGAGCGGTCTGACAATAGAAACAAGGTACTAATCCATTCTTTCTTTAGAAACGTGCAGCCTTAGACCTTTACATACATAACTGTGACAATTGAAATCACATTTGTTTTACTTTCTTACACATAAACATGGCTCTATCAGATTTTAGAGCTGACAAAGACTGATAATAAACAGCATTTCATCCAAGTAAAAGAAACAGTGAGAACAGTACCTGTTGGATTCTTCTCCTTTGTAGTAGTCTGCTGCTTGTTCATAATGTGCAATAGCCTTTACAAAAGAGAAAACAAATACTGTTGTGTGTTCCTCAAAACAAATGTTCCTTACAATGGTAGTACTAATAATTATTAGTAGTATTAACTGACTATGTGACCTCTGATTACCTTTTCGATATCCACAAGCTCAGACTCGTAGATCTCTGCAATACTGATGTGGTGTTTGGCTGCGATGGTGAATCTTCCCTGGAGGAGGAGAGGAGAAATCATTACTAACTGGATCTATCCACAGACGCCTCTCAAGTCAATGAGAGTGTTGTATCACATTCTCAGTGCAGAGAGGCGAGGTCAAGCCTGTGTCTTCACATCTACAAGGTTTTAGCTTTTGAAATGAATCGCCGCTAAAGGGAATAACAAGTAGGT